ATAAAGGAAAAAGAAATATGGATTGAGAGACTGGAAGTTTTATCACTGCAACAGCACTTAGTTTGACAAAATATGATTCTAAACCAGGAAGATTCTGCGTAGAGGGAGAGGTGGAAACTAGAGAATTCTTGGTCTTTTCTCTCATCACTGTAATAAATGGCATAAACATCTTAATTAAGGTTCTAAATATGTCTAGATCTTCCTGTTGCTTCCACATATACAATAGAAAATGCATCAGGAAAGACAATGTTTTTTTCCTAATGAGTTTTCAAGCACCATAGGCAGTATCACTCTGCCAAAATATTTGAATAAGCTCCAGAATCCACACTGTGATATAGGCTGGAGTGAAGAAGTTTATAAAGTCCACAAGGATGTGGGATGGCTCAATGAATAGCCAAGTCCTGGAAGAATACAGTGGAGATGTAAGAATTACTCGCTGGTGGGTGTAAACTTAAATAGACAACCTAAGAACTCACAACAGAATGACTTAACCAAAGTTTACATTTCTGCACTCAGGAAAAATAAACAGGAAGTTGTAAAAAAAAGTATTTCCAACTCTGTTCAAGGCCCAATTTTGGTCTGTTTTCCCTGGGAGATTTAAATAAAACTTTAAATCATCCGTAAATGTCAGTTCAACATCTCCTTAGTGAGAATTGGTGAATGTCACTCTCATTTACCATTGCTTACCATCTTTGAGGATTGTTTCTCGCTCTGTGCCATCAATTTTCTGTCGTCCAATTAGGAAACTGGTAGTATCAGCAAAGTAAATGTAATTGGTTTCAGCATGGAAGTCCAGAGCACGAGGATTGACCAAGTTCTCTATAGGGATCATGTATTCATCAGATACTTTGGTATTCAGGTCCATTCCCCGTATTATTCCTGGACGTCCCTTCCCATAAAAAAGAAACAATTCATTCTTTGGTCCTGCAAAACAAAGATTACAAACATAAACAACTGATGCTGCCTAATCTTCTTTATAGTGCTTAATGTCCCTGTTTAATTAACTGGCACAATTAGTGGGGAGCAGGGGCATTATTCAATACCAAAAATTAAACTTTCATATATTCCAAAGGTATCCAAACTCAAGAATTCTAGCTAATTACATGACCTTAATTAAAAATACAAATTTCTTTAGTGAGCTGCTTACATCTAATTATTTTTTGCATAGAAGTTCACACTCAAAAGCAGTGCTAGACCACAGAATAACTCTGCATCTGCTGTGAGGTGGACATACATAGCTCTGCAGACATTTAATTTTACGATTCATTAGGATCTATGAGGCTAATATAGGCCATGACTGTACTAATCACTAAATTTAAAAATGTCATAAACCCCAGCAAATACAAAACACCATTCTTTTTCACCTGAATGTTCTCAGAAAAAAAAACAACTCAAAAGATTACAGGAAATTTCTTTCAAATTCAATGGAATGCAACAGATCAACACACACTGTTCCTTCATACTGGGAAACAAAACATGGATACCAATATTTCCAGTTTCTCAGAAGATTAATTGCATTAGTCACAATTAAGTGAAGCTTAGTAAAGTGACTGTTTACTTAAAGATACATATAAATATCCTTAGATACTTAAAAATTATCCTTGACAGCTTAAAGCTACCAAGACACTGCTTAAAATTCTCTCTATACTTTTCCTGCTGTCTCTCAGGGCTTTTTGATGGAATTTTCAGTGAAAACTGTATCAGGTTTTAATGAGGTCAAATATACTCATCTATCAGAGTATTTAATTGCATGTCATTCATGCATCATCATCAATGCCATTTGATTGAGAAAACAGACAACGAAAAAGCATTCCCCAGAACTTTGTGCCAATCTGTTGGCTGCAAGTGACCAAGAGATTATGTATTGTCATCTTAGGTATAACCATAGTCATACAAAGCACATTTGGTTTCAAAAGTGTCATGAGAAAACCCTTGCTTGACTTATTCACATGAATGATCTGCTTCTGTGTTACAAGTTGATTGCAGGGGTGGAAATTGGATGTGACAAACTATTTAACATCATTCCAGTACCTGTGTGCTGTGAGAATGCTTAGCATAGAAATAAACAGTAAAATATACTAAGGTAAAACTTATGATAATTTTTAGTGCTCTTTGAACAGCATCCCAGCTTTCATTTGTCACTTCTATGAACTAAGCCAAATCAAATAACTTTAAGGGAATGAAAGGAGTATGTGAACAAAGTGTCAAGTACACATTACAAACCTATTTCCCCCCCAAAGCAGCCCAAGTGATTTCTACTGTTATTGATCAGCATGCTAAAGAACACCCTGAACTATACCCTGGAATATTCATGGCTGGCAGATTCTTTGATTTAAATAACATACTTTTGCATGACCTGCCATCACTCCCCAAGATGAAGCCAGTCCTGCAGCGACAAGTCCGTGCTTTGTAGCTGCTGCTGAGCAGACAGATGTGTGAACATCCCCCTGGCATTCCATATGGGTCCTCCTCACACGCGTGGCTTCTGACTATGGCGAGGGAAAAACAGCAGGATTCAGATCCATTTAAAGCAAGATAATTATATGCATCAGCATGGAGAAAGTTTAGGCAGAAAAAACAAGGAAATTTGTGTCACAATAAATCTTGCCCCAGAATATAACTGCAAAGGAAGGTGGTTGTTTATGACATGATATCCAAATCAGACAAGCAATGCACAGGGCCATCTCGTGGCTATCAAGCTATAGCCAGAGTTGTGTGCAATCTTCCCTTTTTGAATCAGCCTCTGCATAGCATTTGCAGGGCAGTGCTCCCCTGGGGGAGCTCCCCTTTTTGAATCAGCCTCTGCATAGAATTTGCAGGGCAGTGCTCCCCTGGGGGAGCTGACACTTCTCCCCTTTTGTATTTGTTGCTTTGGTTCATTTGATTAGTTGGGTTTTCTGAGGACACAGTGCATCCCATGGCAACACAGTTTGCTGTTCAACACCATTAGACAGCACCTTTCTGGGGCAGATACCTGTGCTGAAACTGAAGAACAGAACAAACCTTGTAGCCTTTTTCCATATTCAGAGAATCACAGAATGGTTTGGGTTGAAAGGGACTTTAAAGATCATCTCATTCCAACTCCCTGCCATGGGCAGGGACATCTTCCACTAGACTAGGTTGCTCAGAGCCCCATCCAACCTGGCCTTGAACGCTTCCAGGAGTGGAGTGCAGATTTCTACAGCTGTGACATAAATCCAGCTGATGTGCAGATTTGTACAGCTGTGACATAAATCCAGCTGATGAGCCAATGAATTCCTTTCCCTTGATTTCAGATTTTCAAATGCACAGTTCTAAATTAGCAGACTAATATGTCAAGTTCAGTGTTTCAAACTATTAAAGGCAAATCATATAAACATAGAATGTTAAGGGGTTGGAATGGATCATCTAGTCCCAATCCCTCCTGCCAATGGGCAGGGACAAATCTGATGAGAAAACAAAATCTGCCTTGCTATCCTACATTTACTACACTGGCTTAGAACAGGCCAAGATGATTTTAGCTCAAAACATACTTTTCTGTGGGGTTTTTTTCTCCTTTCCCTCAAGCTTTTTTAAAAAAAAATCCAAACAATCAAGTGGATTAAGGTCAATATGGTTAAAGGTATACAGAAACTCTACCAAGCTGAGACAGCCTTTACAGCAAATCTTGACAAGCAGCAAACATGTCCATTCAAAATATAGTGAACAAAGGGCAAGAGGAGCAGAGTAATCACAGGATGTAATAAAACACTGTACTCATGTCTCTCCTCTACTCAACCTCTCTCCCTTGGGAGTACAAGAGAGAGGCCTGTAGCAAGGAAAGAGTCTTTGCAGCCTTCTTCAGAGACTGACATCTGCAAATCAATGCCCTCAGCTATGGGGTGAAAATTAGTTCACTCTCTCTACATCAATTTAGAGTTTGTTCCCACTTCAGAAACTTCTCTAAACAGTCAGTCTGTTTAGTAACATCGACGTTGAGAACCAGAATTGATGTGTTGGCTTTTCTGTCTAAGCAACGATTTATTGCTATCAGTCACATCAAAAAATTCTCATAAAAGCATCGCTGTAAACATTTTGGATTTTGCTATCTTTGCACAAAGGTCCTACAAACCACACTGCTGTTCTGCATGCAGGAAGTATGCAAACAGAGCCCTGACCGACTCATACAGGACTATGGACCTCAGAAATTGCTATTTTACCAAAAATTCTGAGGTTGTGAAAAGTTTTTCATTCAAGATGAAAATGAAGATTTCTTTCACAGGGGGAAAGATGATATTTATACAAACCAAAGAAACTTTGACAGCATGTTCCTATCTCACTGGTGCTGTGCTGGCAGTTAGGCAGGCTAACTGCCCAATCTCTGTGCTTTTTTGGCAACTCCAAAGACAGGGACTCACTTGAGGTTCATAGCCTGTCTGAAAAGCAGCCCCAGAGAAACCTCTCTGAGGAATGAGACCCAAGTGTGTGGACAACACTGGACACCCAAAATTGCTGAAGGTGTTAAATTCTTAACATGTTGAGTGTGTGGAGCCAGACAATGCACAGACCAGAGCTCTTTGGCAGCTCTCCAAGCTGAATGCTCAGGAAAAAGTTGAGTTACAAGCTTAGAAACACAAGAAAACTGGACAAATCAAGAAATAACAGAGAGTTTTGGCACAATGAGAAATTTTCACTGCATCTTCTGATACATTTTTCTGGTAGAACCTTTTTAACCACATAACCACTTAATGCTATCAATATACTGCTAAAAATTCTCTATACACTTTTCCTGCTGCCTCTTCAGGTTTTTTTGATGGAATTGTCAGTGAAAACTGCATGAGGTTTAACCACTTCAATATCTGCTTTTGTGTTTTGCAGAAAGAGGAATTTTTATCTTACCTGCTGTTTGAGTTCTTTTCTGGTACACACGGATCTCTTTAGCATTGTCCAGACTAGCAAGAGCCTGAACATCAGTGCCATTGTATCTGTTTATCCGTAAAATGCTGAGATTATCTGAATTAACTGTATACAAATAGTTTTCAAATACTGCCAAACCACATAGATGTCTAATCTGGAAAAGGTAAAAAAATATCATTATTTTAGTTCAGGATTTTAGGCGTATCTATGATTTATAAACATCAGGCATTACTTTGAATTCTGCCTGAGAAAATGCAAAAGGTTTTCTGAATGTCTCAGTAAATATCTGTAAATAGTAAACACAAACTATTCTACAAGTATAGTTTGCATTTTCATAGTCTCAAGTTTATAATTAGAAAAGCTTGGTATAAGAAAGGCAGAAAATTCAAATTTTTTAGCCATCCAAACGTATTTACTCTCTGAATTATCAACTTTCTGTCTTTTATATTAAAAACTCCTGCACACTTTGACTGCAACAGCTTTAGTTTAACTAATATTCATTGACTGATAGTAACTAAGATAAATTAACTACTATTAACTAGCATTGACTAATAAATATAGTAATCTCAGATATTTAAAACACAGTTTTTAGGTGTGATTGATGCACTTTTTACAATTATGGTACGTTTAAATCAGGGCAAATAGTGCCAGATAAACCTGCTGAATGTTTTCTTCAGTGAATACATGATAAATAAATTTGTGTTTCTTTTGTGTTGCTCTCTTTGAATATGATTGTGGCCACATGGTACTGTTTATTTCTCAAAAAAGTGAATTCTAAAATTGCATTTATCTGTGATATACCTGAGCACACTGATTTAAAATTACCTAATATTGGTTAGTTAGACCATCAGAGCTCCCACATGAAGTGCTTGATAGTCTAACAGTTGTGCTTGATTTATAGATTTAGAAAATGTCAAATATCTCACTGGCAATTAAGGAGAATTTGTTGGCAGATGTTCAGATATTCACAAGCTGAATATCTTACTACTTTAATCAATAAATTGCTCACCACAAAGTATTTACTTAGCTCATTCACTCACAAATTCAGACATACATCACCAAAAACCAACCCAAACAGAAAAAAACCCTGTCATGCATCAAGTATTTCAGCCTAGTTTGGAAATTACACCCTAGCTGGCCAAATCTTGCCATTGTGTTCTGCCCTCACCCAGAAAAAGAAATAATAATTGAGATCAATGGAAGAGTTTTATTAAGACCCAATAGAAATTCAATCCAATTATAGTAAGATGGAAAACAGCCTAGAAAATAACTATGCATCTGTACCAAATTGTTGAATTATCCTCTGAATTGTAATCCTTTCCTCCCCTATTTCCATTTGCACTCGGTTTAAATCTTTACAATTTAATTCCCATGAGGGCTTTTATATTAACACTATTAAAACTATGTGACTCTTTTTACAATGCATTTTATAATGACTTTATTATTTGTATTTAATTTATGCAGTTGTTGTTTTTGCATCTCATGGAGCTTTCCAGCTATCTGATACGTGAATGGAAATGTTGCTTGCACAAAGAATTGTCCTCTGAAAGTCACCCAGGCTATGAATCAATGAGCCCAGTATCACTGGAAAGCACATCATTTGAAATTAATTTTCTCATTTGAGTGGAAAGACAACCAATACTCTTTGTGACAGCAGTGACCAATTGAGAGGCCAAACCTTTTAATACCCTTCACCCACATTGAGAGAAACAGATCACCTTTTTTAGGTAGTTTAGAGATGAAATTATCTTTCTGAACTTGATAAAGTATCCTCTTTTACATCTAAATTTCAACAAGAAGAGAAAGAACAAGCATCTCTCTTATGACACCAGCACAACACTGTTATAAGCCTGTAGAAGTATGTGATTTTTGGTTCTGGAAAATTAATTTCCTTTTTTAAGTATCTATTTCAAAATGTTACCTGACAAATCCCTTGTTGTTCCAGAACAACTGGCTAAAGACTGGGAGTAATTTAGTAAAAAATAGGAATGTATTTGGTGTTTACTTTGGTGACCTAGACTGGTTTTTGCCACATTTTGTGCCTATTTTAAATGGCAGTTATGCTGACCAGCTGTCAGTTCTCTAGGTAAGCAGTGATTACTTGGAAGCAAAGAATGGCAGCAGAACAGATAAAGTGTTTACTCTCTGTTTGCAAGTTTTTATATTCCCTGTTTAACCTCAGGCAGAAACAGATGTAAACATGGTGCCCACACCAGCTCTGGGATTCCAAGTACTGAGCAGAACAGTTTGATCTTTGCTAATTTTCCTTCAATTTGCCTAAGTCACAACTGCCAGAGAACCCTTCCTTTTCCTACTACCTCACTTTCCAAGCTGAAGCAACACTGATGGATGGAAATATTCCTGCTCAAAGACTTACAGGGTCTCAACATTTGTATTTATGACCACAAACATCTGAATCAACAGGGAAAAGAATCATTGCCATCGATAAAATAAGATTTAAGGGCATCCAGATTAGTCTGAATGGGGGAATAGTTTTTGCTACTGTGCTTCTTCCACATATTGTGCCTGAATGTCTCTCCTTCCTGAATGGGTAAAGACATCTTCTTGTCATTAATGATTTATCTCCCAGTACCTTCCCATTGCCCCATATTTTCCCTCCTGAAATCTTTGACAATGGGGAGTGTGACTTACATGGTGCATTGTTAATGAGACACTGCACAGAAAATTGTCCATAGGTTGCAAAACTGACTAAATTCCAAAGAAACCAAAACATGCAGATGGACTTGTTAACATCCAACACATTTGAACTAAAAAGAGAAAAAGCTACGAAATTACTGTAGCTGTTAGCATCACATATGTGCATTTACTGATATTATTGCTTTTTACTAATTTGCAAATAAATACCTACTTGTCTGCCTTTAATTATTGTGTGTCGCTTTCTCCCTTGATAGTCAACAACTTCCACACTATCCAGATATATGTCAACCCAGTACACATATTTATTGATGAGGTCTAGTGCCAGAGCAGTTGGCTGTTCAATTTTAGAGTCTACTATCCACGTCCTGTTCATTCCATCCATGTCACATCTCTCCACCTTGGCAGCATTCCCATAGTCTGTAAAGAAAAGCTTTCTGTTGAAAGAAAATAAGATGTGGTAAGTTTTAAAGGGTGTGAGCAGAGTGCCAAGCTCCTGGTAGCTCTGGGAGAAGGAAATTTTTGTCCTTTGCCATTTCAGTATCCCATATACCCCATGCTGATAATCATATCATAGTAAAAAACATTCACAATGTATTCTAATAAATCCAGTATTACACTGAATTATCTTTCAAATGGAATGTACAGAAGTTCTAAATGTATTTCCTTACATGACAGATACAACATGCAATACTTTACATAACGATCTTAAATATATTTTTGACCATTATTTCTACAGATACAACATGCAATACTTTACATTACAATCTTAAATATATTTTTGACCATTATTTGTAAAACATGGCAAGATAATTACAAATAACAGAGTGGCAAAGCCTCAATGAACTCAGATGGTCTGGAGAACAATTCATTGCATATGAGGTGCAACAAATACAGTGATCAATACTGTCAGGTTTTTCAAAATCTATTTCTAAAGGAGATGCTTTAGTCTGTACTGAATTTGTATCCAGCATTGGGAGGGTGCTCAGGCTTTAAAATGCTTCCACAAATCGAGTAAGTCATTCCATCCAAGAATAATGGGAAACTATCAAAGACTTAAAATTGCTACTAGAGCTTCCTAACCCAATGCTTGATTAGCATTCAGTGGGTTTAGTACACGCAAATCAATTTTGATTAACCTGACAATATTTTAACAAGATTACCTATTTGTGAGAACAAATTACACTTGCAAGCTGAAGACCACCTTGCCATGACTTTAACATGCTGTAAAGAATAATCTGATTCCAGGCTGAATGTTACTAAAACTACTTTGAGAATCAGGATTTCATTTTCCAAATGAACTGAATTATCTCCTAGTTATTACTGCTAATGGGAATAACATTGGATCTACAGCATATAAACCTTGAGATATCTTTATGGTAAAGAGCAGGAATTTCTAGCCTTGTAACTTCTTAGAGAAATACAGCATTGTAATGCATTTTAGGCTGGAAAGAATGCATGTTTTCTGAACAGCCAAATTAATTTCATAGAATTCTCATAGAACTATAGAATTTTCATAGAATTTAAGGGTTGGAATTGACTTGGATCTACAGCATATAAACCTTGAGATATCTTTATGGTAAAGAGCAGGAATTTCTAGCCTTGTAACTTCTTAGAGAAATACAGCATTGTAATGCATTTTAGGCTGGAAAGAATGCATGTTTTCTGAACAGCCAAATTAATTTCATAGAATTCTCATAGAACTATAGAATTTTCATAGAATTTAAGGGTTGGAATTGACCTCACAGATCACCTAGTCCCAACTCAACT